CAAAGGAAGTGTCTTGCAACTTACTCCTGTGTTGCAAGTATATCTTGGAATGTTGTTCAGGAATGAATTCAAACACTGGCAAGAAAGATCAAATTTGTGATTTGATAGCCACGAGCCCCTAGTACATGATAACCTCATCGCTTCATTACGTCTATATACTGTAGATGTATTACCGTATAACAATTTACATAATTGGTATAAAACTGCATAAAAACAAAAGTCAGCAAATGATGATGGCTGCATGTTCGGGGTTAAAACACTGATAGAAGAGATTCATTAAAATAGACACCATACAATATGTAAACACATAAAAGCTTAATTTTTGCATATCTTTCCAAAAGCAACCAAAATTAGTGGTTGCTTGGCACAATAGATTATGGAAAACAATTTTCAAACTCGTATATAAGAATTGGATACCTAACACTTATTTGCAGTTTTGCTAATTTAAGTCAACCAGAAATGCCTCCAACATAAGTAAAATAGCTTAAAGGCCATACTGTTCTTTAATGGACTACATAATCTATAATACAAAAAATACACAATCCATAATAAAATGCCATTATACAACATATACCAGTCATACAAGACATGCTATGTTAACATACTTTGTCTAGAGCACGAGTCCCCAACCTTTTCCATGCCTCACACCCCTAGAAAATGTTGGACTTAACTTTGTAACCTTACAAAAGCAATATCTCATTTGAAGATGGCATTCTATAGCATTTTTTTATATTATTCATAAGGGGATAATTTTTGGCAAATCATGGCACGGCCTTCCTCTTTGTTGCACTCCACGAAACACCATCTCGCACCTCCTGGAAGGGTGCAGGCATCCTAGGTTGGGAATCCCTGGTTTAGAACATTGCCAATTGCTGCCAAAATTAATGACATTTACGGCGTACATCTGCGTTCTAAAGAAATTCACATAATGAAGCACTTAAATTTCCTTCCTTTCATCTTCATTTTTTAACATCCTTCAATAACACATATATAATTCTCAATACGAAAGGGTGACACTTAAACAAATACTGTACTTATACATATTTCATATTTATGTTTTTATAATGCTCTAATATGTCACGATAAATACCCCAAGCCAGTAGTTGACATTATTAAAGACAATGTTTAACATACAAGAGCTGGAAAGTGCAAAACTAGATTTGATAAAAGCCCTTATAAGCAAGATGTTATCTTTTAGTCTACTCCTGACTTGGTCTCTTAACCTTGGCATTGTTACAAACACTGAAATCTATTAAAATATATCGAACAGTTCATTATTTTGATAATTTAGCAATTTTACAGCATATTTCTAGCTACATTTCACAAAAATATAGTACTGTACTGTATAGTAACTTGCTTAATATCCATTACCATCAAACTGGATGGCTTCTGATAATTTTACTACATGTGAATATTTTCAGTCGCATCTCTATGGTTTGATTTTGCAGTTTTTGGTCTATTAATTGGCATATTATTTATGCCATGTGTATCGATAAAATTAGTGGTTTTATAGAGATAGCAAGTCCCTGATGGATGTATGACCTTAAGATTTCTTAGAATTTTTAATTTACATAAATGAGAATTACTACTAGAAAACAATTAGAAACACAGTATATTCTGCACAAGAAGCTAGAACATGTTTGTGATCTTTTTTGCGGGAAAGCAAGCAGACCAAAGTATAACAAACCTAAAATATTAATGACTTAATATGACATTTCTCTCATTTTCAATGTTTATAAATAGGTTATGGTATATAGTACCGAGTAATTTTTGTAAAATCATTTATTCTAGTTCAATGAGTAAATAATACAAAACACTACAAATATTTTCTACTGTTGTCCTTTTATTAACTTTCACAGAACTCCACTTCTAGTCTTGGCACATGAAATACAGTAATTCAATATTTTAGAAAGATACTGTTTGTGGTAAACAGTTGATGCATTAATCTTTGATGTTCTAACATGCATTTCACCATCTAGAATATTTTACTCTTTATCCCCTCCAGAATTTGCTTTGTATAATTTGCATAATGTATATCCTTTTTGCTTACAAGTTACAAATGAGTATATCTAAGTGAACATGACTGATTAATATTCTAATTTAAATAACAAATCTAAATGCAGTACTGTAGTTCTTATATGCAAAGGAAAATAAGGGGAAAGGATATTCAGCTCAATGAGTTTACTGACAAATATTTCTTATCTTCAATAATGGCATGACAAGATTTATTCTTTGCATGCTTAAGATTATTCATAACTCTCAAAACGAGTATGTCATTACCATAAACATGCCAGTGACATACTAGGCAAACAAGCTTTGGCAGAACTGCCATGTTGACCATTTATTTTGAGTTGGAATAGTTGAGATTGCACATGTTCATTAGTGTCAAGTGTGCATGCATATGTGCAGATACATGTACTGTAATTACTTGAGTGTAGTTAAAGTAAGAGAGCTATCCTTGTGGTGTCCCGTCTTCCCAGTACTCTGTCACACAATGTTTTGAAACTAATGGTGGTTTTGGCCTCCACACCATCTCACTTTACTTATTTAAACTGCCTATCACTCTGATTGCAAAATAAACTTTCTATGTTCTTTTGCCAGTTTTGTTTAGTTAGCTTAAATCTATGATCTCCTGTTCTTGAGGTTCAAGAATTCTACTTTTATAAATTTTGTCGATTCTCTCTACTATTTTGTAAGTAGCGATCACCCTTTTTTTCTTCTTTTAGCTTTGACACATTTAACACCTCTAACCTCTCCTTGTAGCTCTTGTCTTTTAGTTCTGAGAGTCATTTTGCATGTATTAGTCTCTCACAAATTACATCAATAGTTTCTTTAATCTTTATCTGTTCATATATTTAAATATGGGTCTGAAAATTGCTAGCATAGTGAAGGATCCTCTCACAAAGCCCTTTTGTGGTCTTTTGGTAACAGCATACAATCCAGAAAAACTAGCTTTGTTTATCGGAGGTTTTAAAAATATTTTCCCATAATTTGTAGGTTGTGGCCAGTTTTCATCTATGTCGCATTACATGACATTTATTTATGTTGAATTCCATCTGGCATGTGTTGATCCACTTATTCTGTCTAGGTCATTTTGGAGGGCAATACAGTCATCTCCCTGACAATTTTGCATCATCTGCAAACATATTCAAATAATTGTGTTCCCTCTGGTAGATAATTATTTATATAGATAATAAAACATTACCAGTGCAAGAGCTAAATCTTGAGGTACTCCACTAGTGACATTTCTTCAGATACATTTCCATGGATTACCATTTACATTTTTTCCACCTGTTATAACATTTCTCATCCAATTTAGATTTCTGCCTTTCAACCTGCCTATGTGTTCTAAAGTCCAGAAGAGTCTTGTGTGGGTTTATGTCAATGGCTTTTTTCGAGACCAGATATATGCAATGGGTCCAGCCTTCCCTTGCTTGCAACATTTATGTGGCTCTCATAAAAACTATGATGTTATGCCTGACCTTTCCTTTGGAAATCCAAACTGTCTTATTATATATTATACTGTCACTTTTCAGGTACTCTGTTCATTTCCTTTTTAATTTTTAGTGCATTTACTTCCATGCTTGTGCTTTTTAGTGCTTTTACTTCAATGATACAAGCGTATAGTTTAATGGGTCTTCCCCCATTTCCATTCTTATACTTTGGAATTATGCTTGCTAGGTTTCCCTGTTTGTAAAGATGTTTGAAAGGTAATCTGTAGTGGGGCACTCATCTCAAATTCACATTACCTTAGTACCCAAGGTAAGACTCCATCTGGTCCAACTGCTTTATTTCTGTCTAGCTCCCTTACCAGTTTACCTACTTCTCTCAACACTATTAATCTAATTTATGTTTGAAAGTCGAGATTGTGCTTGGTTTGCTGAAAATTTCATCCTGCATGAACACGCTTTAAAACTGTTTATTTAGTACTGTACATTACACACTTCCTTTCAAGTCTCTGAGTGTGTGCATGTGTAGTGTCAAATACAGAGGGAGGGGGAGAGGGCAGGGGGGGGGGGGAGGGTACACATAATAGTGGGAAAATTGTGGTGATGATTGGGGTCAAATACATAAAAGAATTGTTAACACTTTTACCTATTTTGGGTAGTGTTGTGTTATCTGTACTTTTCTATCTTACTGTGGCTTTGGTCTCGTCTTAAATTTCTCATAATTTATCACCGAGTAGATACCGAAACTAAATCTTAAATACAGTATACACCAAACAACGACAAACACAACTTAAGCACGGTGTTAACTGCCTCTGCATAACTATTATTGACTGCTGTGTATTGTTATAAATCAGTCCACATTTTCAGTCCAATTTGAATATACATTATGATGTAAACATGTAACATAACTAAGTACAGTGGTACCTCAATTTTCGTATTTAATCCGTTCCCAGAGACTGTACAAAAACCGAAAATATGAAAACTGAAACGAATTTTCCCATAAAAAATAATGTTAATTGAATTAATATATTTAGGGATGTGGAACGGATTAACTAAAACATACACTTTACACAGAATAATACTCTTAGGTACCTAACCTTCATTGAGGACTCTTGTTGGTGTATGGAAGACAGCGAGGAAGGGGGAAGGAGGAGAGATGTTAGTGTTTGGAAGGGGAGCCCCCTTCCACTATAACAGCAAGGATGACACTTCTGGGGGTACTCTCTCTCTCTCTCTAATGTTTTGCAGGCATACCACTAGGACCTGGTTGTGGCTCACTGCTTGCTTGTCTTAAGAATCTGTCTATAGACACTTGTTTTTTCCCTATATTTTAACGCTTGTCTGTAGTGAGACATCACATTCTCACTATGAATGATCTCATATTTTTCCTCTATCGTCATCCTCTCAACTACTATATTTTCTTAGGTTGAACATTACCACTGACTTTCTTGGCACCCATGGCATGATATATAATAAGAACTTATGTTCAGAAAAAAAAGCACAAAAAACAATGAAATTCTTCACAAATAATTCAAGCACGATCATCACTAGGCAGGAGACACTGGTAAACTGAAGTGCCACATGCTCGGTGGACCCGTATGTGTATAAACAAACTCCGAACACTGAGGAAAACAATGAGTACCAAATCTAATTTTTAAGAAATTGAGTACGAGTACCAAAAAATACGAAAACAGGGACATACAAAAACCGAGATTCCAGTGTACTGCAGACAAGTCAGCTATAGTGAACAAACTTTTTTTTTTTTGTGATTTACCAAGGATAAACGAAGCCAGCGTACATTCATTTATGCACGTGTACAATATACTATAAACCCTATTCAAGTACAGTATACTAATTCATTATGAAAAAATTGCTTAGTTTTCTGTAAAACAAATTAAACTTCACTAACTTCAATATAATTAATTTAAATGACATGCACTCATTTTTAATTAAAGAATTTTAAAATATTTATTTAGTAAATTATGCTCTTGCTGAAAAGTTAGTCAAGCCAAGAACGTACCGGTAGTTAAAAGTTTCCAGAATTCTTCCAATTGAAAATTATGACAAGACACATAACAAATATAAATATGTAACAGTAATAAGGACTTTTCAAAGATGTGTTTTAGTGGTACAAAACTACCTCAAATGATAGGATACGTACTTATTTTTAGTCATTCATTACCTTATTTTCCACTTTTATGGAGTGGGAAGGCACCAGCCCAGAGGTGAATAATGGTGAAATGTTATATATTTAAAAAAAAATATAGAACATTATGCTTTTCATTTTTAATTGTATGAATCCTCTTTTATTATTTCAATTCCATATTATTCACAAAGTATTTGTTTTTTTAAATATGATACTGTACTTTATTTAGAACGTGATTAATTTCTTTGGATATTCATTTTAATCTGAAGTGCACATGAATCATTCACGTGCAGACTTCACCTCTCTTATACGTTGAAGTGTTCCCTTAGTTTTCTTCTGAGTATCTTGCCAGCAGATGATCGTGGGACAACATCAGTAATCTCAACGCCACCTCGCAAGCGCTTATGAGGTGCTACCCGTTCTAGTTAAAAGATAATAATTTATTTAATACTAAAAATGATTCATTTTCTATATAAACTAAACAGGAATACTAGCTACAGATATAGTCTGAGAAGTGACCTAACTCAAAATATTTTACTTCATGTTAGGCAAATTAAAAATAGATATACAGCAAGTTTAATTAAGAATAACTTAAGAATAACTTAAGAATAAAAGATAACTATAGAAATTACAAACCACAATAAATATAGAAATAATATTTCATTCACTTGCACTATCGGAGCCTCGAACCTGTCATCACTGAAGCAGAAGAGTGGAACTTGTCGATCTGACTATGAACACCCACAATAAGAGAGGATCCAAGAGAGAAACCACTGGTATTTAATTGAGATTGCATAGGAGACACCCCAGGAGAGACAAAGTTTCAGTTGGATACCAATGGTCTCTCTCTGGAGACCCTATCTTATTGAGGATGTTTGTAGTCAGGTCGGTAGACTCTAGTCTCTAGTTTTGGTGGTGACAAATTTGAGGTTCTGATGGTGCAAGTGAATGAAACATAACTATGCTCTTACTTAAATTCTTCATAACTACTACTTACCTTTTACCCAATTAACAATATCTTCTGGTACAACAGTTCTCCCAGGTTTAAGCACTATGTAAGCTTTGGGCAGCTCTTCTGCCTCTTCATCTTTCACACCAATAACGCCAGCATCAGCAATAGCCTCGTGGGTCATCAACAATCCTTCAAGCTCTGCTGGAGGAACCTGAGTGTGAAAACAAATTTATTATCTATAGATGATTTCTAAGACTCTTCTTGTAGCCTAGTCCTAATGACCGACTGATTACTGAGACTGTTGCTGCTTGTAGCCTGCGTCACTACAGCTAATATAATCTAGCTAATAAGGTACTCTTCAACACTTATCAAATTTAATTTTTTATTTATAGGCTGTGGCATCAGCAATATTTAAAATATTTTTTGGCAAGACACTCGCCTGGCGTTTCGTGAGTACTTTGTCCTGGGTTTGTATCCTGGCCGGGGAGGATTTACTGGGCGCCAATCCTTAACTGTAGCCTCTGTTCATCCAGCAGTAAAATGGGTACCTGGTTGTTTAACGATTTGGCAGGTTGTAATCCAGGGAATATTAGGATTAAGAACTTACCCGAAATGCTATGTGCACTAGTGGCTGTACAAGAATACAAGAACTCGAATATATAAATAAATAAATAAAATAAATAAAATTGAATTTGTGACAAATGACTGATAAGTCATGCAGCAATCAAATAAGTTCTGTACAATCGAATAAATATAACATTGTTAAGAGTAAATAAAAGGTGCAGGCAATAAAGAAGGAGGGGAAGGGGCAGAGACCCTGCCCAGAAAGCACTATCTCTTCTAAAAGCTACCGCGCGCTGATGTAGATCAAATAGGCTATAATGAAACAAATCTTGGAGAACTGAAAACCAATAAGATATAACATGTAAAAACTACCCTACTTTAAATTCTTAATATATCAACACACACCTGGAAGCCTTTGTATTTAATAAGTTCCTTGATGCGGTCCACAATATAGAAGACCCTCTTCTCATTATAATAGCTGACATCGCCCGTGTGAAGCCATCCTTCCGAGTCGATTAGTTCTTCTGTTGCTTCTTCATTATTTAAGTAACCCTAAGGGAAATAATGTGATTTTAGAATTTTACAAGATTGTAATTATTGCAACAAGGAATAGTAGCAATATCCATCATATGTGAAAATCTGTTTGGTAAAAATGAGTATTACTATACACTATATCTGAAACCTGTAAAACTCTTGAAATTATAAGTACACATTCTCATTGTACACAGATGGCCTAAAGAATATACAGTCCAAAAGAAAATATTAAATGGGCAACTCAAAGAGTATGAATTAAATAATGACATTAAGCAAATCCTCAAAAAATTATATGGTAAGACTCGTTAAAAGGTGATGAATACATCAGGAACCAACCTTACCTTAGTTATGATTGCACCTCTGAAGCACAGCTCTCCACGTTCACCAGGACCAAGAGAATCTCCAGATTCCATATCTACAATCTGAAGTTGCATTAAAATAAACAAGATGCATAAACAAGGGCCCAAGTTTAACATCACACACATACACGATAAAAACACCAGCAAGAATAACAGAAGCATAGTAGTCCAATAGAACCTGTCTGTGGGTTAAAGTTTATACTTACAGGTAAATAATCCAAATATATAATATTTATCAATAAAATCAAATATCAATTTTCTCTTTAGTTGTTTATAAATTGCCTTCTAACATTGATTAAAGGTACTAGAGCCGAGACAATTGCTAACACCAATTTTGGTCATCTGATGTTTAGCCAGAGCCAAACTTCACCTGCAATGTTTTTTTGTTTTGTTTTCTGGAGGGGCCAAATGATGATGACCCAGTAGCTAACCATACTGTGGTGGCTCCATGCACGAGTTACATCAGCTCTTAGAAGTCTGTAGTAGCCTATTGCAGACTAGAGCCAGAACCTGGCCCTCTCACAGAGGCACTGGAAGCGGGGACTGATACAGTCATCGTCATCAGTGAAACATCCAGAAAGTGAGCAGTGTTCCTGGGCCTTGTTGGACTTTTGTTGCTTTGAGTTGGGTTTCATGTCCTAGTCTCGCCTCTTCAAAGGTATGAATGTTGCTCTCCTACCTTACCATGTGATGGTTGATGTACCTACCAAGATGTACCACTGATGTACCTACCAAGTGTTGGTATGGAAAGCTTGCAGCTTTTGGTGGTACTACCACCTGTCAATGGTTATCTCAAACTAGGGGAGAAGCTGAACTGACTACTGGATTGATCGTTTGAGGAACTCAATTACTGCTTTGTTTCTTTTCTCTATGTATCTTTCAGTTTTCCATTTTGCTTCATGTACTTTCTGGACATTTCCTTGGTGAGGGTGATCACATTGGTCCTCTGTGCCTCTGAGGAGGGCCAGGTTCTGGCTCTGGTAGGCTATTACGAACTCCTGGGGTTGATGCGACTATGTGAAGAGCTATCTCAATATAGCTAGCTAGAGAAAGCCACCGAGGCCTGACCAGAAAGAGGTGTTTTATTATATTCAACGTAGTTTTTTCTGTTTTGGGTGCAAAAGCAGGACTTGCCTTCTAACCCTTGTTTACAAAGCATGGAATTCTTTCCACCGCAGGTCATCTGAAAACCTACCCTATAGGTTCCCCAAGAACAATAACTGCCAATTTATTTTTATCCAGGTTCCCATTATTTCTGGTTCCACAAGGAGGGGGGGGGGGGGGGGGGGGGGGAAAAAAAAAAAAGAGTTAATGAATGGCGCCCAATCATCCCACCTTGGCCAATATTTAAACCCTAGTCCTCACCTTTATGAAGCATTTACACCAACCACCTGCACCACGTATACTCACATACGTGCCATAACTAGCCATCTTATGGTAATCTGTTATAAGGAGGCTCAGCCAATAGTTCAACCCAAGTTACTTTACTTGGGTTGAACTATTGGACTTTTAATTAAATTGAAAGTCACAGGCTCACTGATGAGAACATAAATGAGTGAGTAGTCGAGTACTTTCTTTGAGTGTTCTTAATGCAATAAGTATTTAGTTATTAGAAGATGACAAATGCCTAGTTCTCAGGAATGAAAATTAGTATACTGTATTAATGTATCAGTCATATTTCCCAAATCTTAAATATTCACTTCATTCTTTCTTTTTATTTTACATCTACAGTTTTATGTATAACAAATTTAAGCTCATACCTTGGCTTCACAGTGAGCAACAACGCTTCCAACTGCTCCCACGTCACGAGACTCGCTTGACAGGGTTCCCAATGTAGTCTCGGTCATTCCAAAACCTTGTCTCACCGTGACTCCTGAAAGCTAGGAATAAATTCATTTTAAATTAATTTATTTTAATCTTAAAATAGAAACAAAGGGCGAGTTAATGAAGTTGCCAAGAAATGATCTAAATAAATTTTAATTAATTTATTGATATTTTTAAATACGTCTGGCTCTGGGAATTTATAGTTATAATTCATAACTATACACGGTAAACAATGTGCCAATTACATTAGTTATCACTGTAAACATTCAAATAGGTAAAAAAAGCTTTGATTGTATGAAAAGTGCATTAGTATGCAGACCTACTTAGTTGCCCTTTAAAACTGAGCACCTTTTATAATGACATTCCTGTGGTATGCCAAAAATAAATTGTTCCAAAAACAGTATTTTTTTCTTTTGATATACTGTACATAGTTAAGTAGCACCCAGGAAGCACGAAAATCTAAGTAAAATGTCTCTTCCTCTTGTAGTTTAGTTGTAGTGGCTAGGAGCAGTTACATTTTAGGGTAAATATGAGGCAAGTTGCCGCATGGGACTAACTTTGTCGATTTATTTTCAGTGCTTATCATTATTTAGTTTTTGTTTTAACAAGTTGTATCTATGTCAAAGATCGTGTTCATTATGTATAACTTTGAAAATATACATATATACAGATATATGTATATGTGTATTAATATACACAAGTATATGTGTATTAATATATGCACACCAAGTATTTATTCAAGATGGGGGATGGTTCCTGGAGGCCTGAGGAAGCAAATGTGAGCCCCCCTTGTATACATGGGAGTTTTGAATCTTATGATATATGAACATAATCACATGTTGGCTGGCACTTCACACACCCCTTAATATGTCAGCTGGTGCATTGCAAGGGTTATCTTGAGGTTATCTTGAGATGATTTCGGGGCTTTAGTGTCCCCGCGGCCCGGTCCTCAACCAGGCCTCCACCCCCAGGAAGCAGCCCGTGACAGCTGACTAACTCCCAGGTACCTATTTACTGCTAGGTAACAGGGGCATTCAGGGTGAAAGAAACTTTGCCCATTTGTTTCTGCCTCGTGCGGGAATTGAACCCGCGCCACAGAATTACGAGTCCTGCGCGCTATCCTGCGCGCTGCGGGTTAAGGTAAAATTCTAGCCAATGGAAGAATGAATTGTACAGTTGGGCAGGGTGACATGCAAGTTAGCAGTGCTGAAGGAAACTTGTTAATTTGTCATCTTCCATGGACAAGTTCTCTACAACTTTATCGTTGTTCCTAATTTTTTTCTTTCAAAAAAAGCCAGCCTCTGCCGAAGCACCACTGGAGTAAGTTCCTGGAAATTACAGAAAAATCAATCACTGAATCTAATCTAATGCCCACTGCCCCCCCCACCTTTTTATTTTTGGTGAGCCCTAAATTGTTTCCATTTACCCACCTTGACCCTTTCTTTCACTTGGGGTGTTTGCGGTTCAGTACTGGTATCTCAAGTGAGGTGGATGACTGGCCGGGACCCAGGGTGACCTGCCCAGCCATCCAGTGGTGATTGGACACATTACAAGTTATGACTGTTTGCCCGTAGCAAAGATCCTTTGCCTTGTTTGCTTCATTTTATTGATTTCTGCGAACAGTAGCTTGTGTTGTATCTAATCTTTCTGGTGGGGTTTTCTTAAGAAAGATTTGGAAAGATAAAGATTTACTCTGATCCTCAATCTCATTTACCTCCTAGAGAGTCATCTTTTATACCTAGCTCACAGTAGGTCAGCATGAATTGCCAAGGTCCAGCACACTTCTTAAGCCTTGGCTACACCAGCATATAAGTTCAAATGAGCTACTGAGAAAGCTTCAAAGAAAAAGGCATAAAAAATATTACAACTCCTCCATCCGCCAGTGGTAGATGGTTAAAATAAAAATGAGGGTTAAAAAAATTATAAAAATGAGGTAGTGTCCCAAAGCTCTACTTTGTAAACTATAAATATAATATCGGATACCCACAAGTCTAATTTGGTTCATGTATCCACAAACAGGTCTGTATCATACACTCCCCTGCAAACATAGCTACTGGTAATTGTAATACAGTACTTAGTCACCGTGGCGCAGTGGTAACACACTCGCCCCGCACTTCACCAGCGATTTGGCCTGGGTTCATATCCTGGCTGGGAAGAATTGATTAGGCGCCAATCCTTAACAGGTAGCCATTTACCCAGCAGTGAATGGGTACCTGGTTGTTAAACAATTTGGCAGGTAGTATTCCAGGGAAAATTAAGATTAAATTAAAGGACCTGCCCAAAATGCTATGCATGCTAGTGGCTTTACAAGAATGTAAGACCTCTTGTATATACAAATAATTATTTTTTTAATTTAGCTATGTTTGCACGCGCACACATGTAAACAAAGAATAATTCTACTTACCCGCTCAGCGAGTAATTTTTGTATCTCTCCAGAAAGAGGAGCAGCTCCAGAGAACACATTAGTAACCGAGCTCAGGTCAAAGTGTTCAACTAATTCATGCTTGGCCACAAAAATGGCCAGCGGGGGTACCAGTGGTAATACCGTAACCTGAGTTAAAAAAAACACCTTTAGATATGATGACAAAAATAATTACTTTGACATAGGTTCACACACAGTTTTAATGACAATCTTGATTATTTTAAGCATCATTTCATAATTTGAAATATAATAAATAATGAGAACTGAAAAATAGTTGATAAATACAATGATATTGTACATCTCATCCAAAACCATGGATACATTTAAGAAGATAAAGTATCAGTGTAACCATGAAAATTATACTGTACTTGCCTTATAAGTCTGAATTGCATTCAGGAAAAGATCTGGAATGAATCGGGGTAGAGTGATCATAGTTGCTCCCTGGGTGAGGGATGCCAGCATTAAGCCAATCCCAAAAGTATGGAAAAATGGCAAAATTCCTAAAACAACATCTTCATGGTTTATATATAAGTACTCCTTTCTCCTGTAAGGAATAAAGGAGAAATACATGTTCATATATACAGATAGTATAGATGCAAGAAAAGTCATTAAGTCAGTGACGTGGTCACAGTATCAACATGCTGAACAGGTACACTAGTTGCGTGTAATCGTTCACACCAACGATCTACTACTGTACCACTTATCATCACACACTACTTTTATCTTCTCTTTTGGCCTTAATCTTCATTGATTTTCATTACTAAAAATTAATATTCTGTACAATAATATTTATCTAACACAACTTCAGTTTGTTGAATCAGTACAACCAATTACTATTTATAAACAAGTATTACAGTACTGTATATGCTCATTTAATGCTTTCCTTCAAGAATCTTCAATTTAACAAGATATTCACATAGCTGTCTTCATCCGAGAGAAAATATTCATAAACTATTGTACTACATAAATATAATGGCCAAAATGTTTAAGGCCAAAGTTATTTCCAAGGAGCGAGAACTCTGTATATGCCTCGGCTTTCATACCACATAATCCCATCATATATCAACCCCACTTTCTTTGCAATTCTCAATCTATATCCTTAACCTTGACATACTTCCAATAGCTGTCTGCAATTATAGCCTGTGCATGAATTGCCAAATACAACAACTATACATTAGATTTGTGAACAATTTTTTGTCATGAACACTGTACTGTGGGATTTTAATACCCAAGCCATTTACGGGTTAAAAATTATCAGCTAAATCTCGGCATTTAAATCTGCATGCAAGAAATATATATAAATACTGTATACACATCATCGATCATAAAATTACATTTTATATTTCAAATTACTGTGCTGTACCTAAAGTTTCAATTTCTAAGCCCCATTTACCTGTATTTTTTGTATCATAATGACATTGTGTTTTCCTTCAAAGTAAATCCTTGTTACTTAAGGTTTAAGCCTATGATACAGAGACAATGACAATACAATAGAATGACAAAAAAAAAAGATAACAAAATATGAAGCCTTAAAAAGAGTACCCTTGTCAAGTTACATTGAGGACCACTCATTCTGAGCAAACAAAATCATAATCATCTATTAATCCAAGGTTGCTTTTCCATAGGGCACAACTGAATTATCAGCAAAAACACTATAGTACTGTACATTATATACAATATAATTTGTAATATTCAAAAAAATTAAGAAGGTAGCCAAATAAAATGGCAAAATTATCAACAACATTTAATTAAAATGAACTTGCTTCATACCCAACAGTTGAGAGAACTGCCAGCCAGTTTGTTGCTGTAAGTTGAACACCCTTGGGTAGGCCTGTAGTGCCCGAGGAGTAGGGCAGATGGGCCACTTTATCACCGCACACACCCTGGCACTCCCAGTTGTCAGGAGCTTCTTTCTTTAGGCTATACACGGCTTCTACAGAATCTTTGGCTTCATTTCCCAACAGATAAATACCCTGATGATAAATGAATGTGTAAATAAACATTTATTCAGTCTGAATAACTATAAAACATGAAGGAAGAAAACATAAAAATATGAGACCCTGTATCTATTAATTGAATTATATTAACCTTTGTAAATGAATGTATAGTTGTACAGTACATGCAACTAACCTTTAAGTCATCCAAATCCTTTGTAGCTGCTTGAACAGTAGCAAGAAAAAGTGGATGGACAATGACCCACTTTGACTGACTGTCAATGATATGCCGACGCAGTTCATCTAAAGGATAGATAAACAAAATCTTTACTCAGCTAATATGATCTGTCTACGATGTTATCTCGAGACTATTTATAAACATTTAAGCACTTCGTTACAGAATGTTCACATTAAGATAGCATAAATAACATTTATTTTGTTGCATGAGGCACTACAGAAAACCAGAAATGCAGGGATGACTTTTTTTTAATCTAGAAAGGAAATACAGGATAGGCTATATTTTGATCACTAACAGGTTAAACTAATATCTTGTACATTTAAAAAGAGAACCCTTATTAGGGCTACCTAGGAAATTATATGGAATATAATTTTAACCTGGAGTGTAGAGGGGGTTCGCTAGGGTCACCACAGCCGAGGATGCGACCGCAGCGAGAAAAATTGGTGGGGCATGGATACTATTGGGCGTCACCAAGCATACTACATGACACGCCTCAAGTCCAGTTTCTTGCCAGCCATAGCTTAGGTTACGAACCAAGGAAATCACATCACCATATTTAAATTTTTCGCCCGATACTGCATCTATCTGAAATATGATGACTTTGAACAGTACAGTGAAAATGTTGCCTTCAGCATTGTATTTTCTACAAATAACAACTAACAACAGTTACAACCTAATCTCATAAATTCATTTCTGTATGTACAGGTATATGTATTGTTTAAAATATATGCAATTCAAATATAAAAAAAATATGGACTCAATGGTCAAACTTAACTACAGAACCCTACTGTACACTATATTCAATTATACCTCAACAACAGACATGAGTTAACAGCCAACAATAATATCTCTCTCTCTCTCTCTCTCTCTCAATCTCTCGGTAACACCAGGAGTGCCCCAGAGCAGTACTGTACGAGTTCCATTATCCCAACTATATGGGGAAGGGGCTCCCATCCTGATAAGCCAGACATCCGGATAAGCAGAATTCTTACAGGGGGAAGTCCAAAAATGACCATATTCACATTTTTTTTTGTACCCCAACCAACATCATTTGAACTTCAACACACTATAAATAAAAAAAAAGTGTTGAATGTAATGAAACATTTTCTGGGTTGAGCCCCAGAGGCTCCCTGCCACTAACAGACTGATATCCATTATATTAGTGTAGAGCATCAGTTAATTGGAGTTCTTTGCCTACTGGGAACCACAAGCCAGAACCTGGTTCCCTCAGAGAGGCAAAGGGAGCAATGGCTTATGAACACTCCACTTTGTGAGAGTATAGTCATGTCTGCTATCAACCAGGGGGGTTTAATACCCAGAAAGGTAGGTGAACCATTACAAACCCCTACTGGAAAAACATTACAACCCAAGACTGAACAGAGCCCAACCCCCCTCCCCCTAAGAGGAATCGACAAACAAGCAAATGTCTAATCAACTTGCATGCCTACTCATTAGCAACCTCCCTCCCCTGAGAGAGGGGGAGGTTATCATGAGATGATTTTGGGACTTTGCATCCCCGCGGCCCGGTCCTCGACCAGGCCTCCTTTTTGTTACACCCACCCAGGAAACAGCCCATAGCAGCTGTCTAACTCCCAGGTACCTATTTACTGTTAGGTAATAGGGGCATCAGGGTGAAAGAAACTCTGCCCATTTGTTTCTGCCTCCAACAGGGATCGAACCCGGAACCTCAGGACTATGAATCCGAGGCGCTGTCCACTCAGCTGTCAGGCCCTTGTCTGTCAGCTGGAGGGATTCAGTTCAGGCGGCTCAAGCACCAAAACCGGCAGTTCGTTAACTGATATCATACATAGCATACGTTATCTCTGGCCTCATTCTCCTGTCTGGATTTTGCTCTGTGTGGTTGTGCCAGCTGTGTGGTTTGGTGCGGTGGCCAGGTGTTCTAGAGCACTCGAGCTGCACTTGTCTCGGGTTACCTTCCTCTGGCCTTTAAAGGGCACAATTTGTATACAGTGTTACTTTGGTGTACGTCTGCCCAAGAGTACAATTTTTTGGTATTCGACGTCAAATTATACCAATTATCACATTTTTTATTGCAGATGCCAACTGGAGGTCAAGTTAAACTAAACTGAGAAATCACCAGTGTCTCCATTCTCCAACTTTTGGTCAGGTGTGATGCTTGCAAGAATTCCTGTTGAACTATGGAGTAAAGTTCATCAGGTCTGGCGGTGATTAGGCTTGTCTTAGCGAAGAAGCAATCGAGTGGTCTAGCTCAGAAAAATACCTTCTCTGTGGAAAACTTGTTGAAAATAAATGAAAATTTTCATTATAACTTACAGAAGTAATGCACACTTGTACAGTAATTATAAATAGCAAATACTGACTTAGAATTAATGTCTGCAAACAAGTAATAAAAGTGGCAATCAACATAAACTTAAGTTTGGTATCTTATCGACCCAGTACACTTACAACTGACTTGTATTAGAATGTATGAAAGCAAAAATGTTGCACATACAAGTACTGTACAGTAATGTATCCTTTATACTGTATTAGAAGAATAAGAGACTTGGAGTGAGAGTAAGAACAGAAACTCACTAGTGCATCTTTCTCTGCAGAAAATTTCATCTTGTCCATGACATACTGAGCAAATGGCTGGTCTGGCACTGGACCCACATTTTCCCACAGACATCGATGAATATGCTCTTCCTTCTCCACCCCCTTGCAGACCATGATTTGTCTAGTTTTAAATGATGTATCCTTCAATCCAATTAGACCTAAAAGAAAAATTGTAGTTATTAATTTGAAAAATCCATTGTGGTGTTAGAAATATATTAAAAATTTGAAATAAATGTTATACTAAATCATTTACACATAAGCATGAGGACAAGATGAGATTATTAACTCGAGTAACATGGTCAACATTTGAATCAAACTGAGCTTGTGTGCTGATATCAATGATTTACATTATTAATATCAATATAAACCATTGATAAAATTTTATCACCCAAAATCCAGTCGAAATTTGCTGTCTTCACATGACCTAGTGACCAGCTTGAGGCCTGAGACAGCAAGATTGTTAATACCATGTGAACGGCTTAGAGGCCTTCTTGACAGTACCTAGTCAATGATAACATCTATCGTCTACCAAATTGGAAGTGTATGTCATCATTTGTATAACTATTTGTTTTTGTGAATACACCTGGAGAGTGCTCTGGGAGTTTTTCTACTCTCCAAGCCATACCTGGGGCCAGGTTTGATGACTTGGTCCAACAGGTTGTTGCTTAAAGCAGCCCGCAGGCACACATATCTGTAACAAGTTAACCTTGTTTCAGAAATTATTGAGAAATAATGCGGAAATGATGCACTACAATGCGGTTGGTCCAGTACTTCTAGCAGAAGTGTCTAATTTGTCCCAAATTCCCAATTAGAACTCTTAATATTTCCAAGTTAGTGTAGTGACAGCCTAAGACAGCATAGAGAGCTATCAATCCACAGCGCTAAGCGTGGAGGATGTGCTGCATGAAGTCAAATTCTTGCTGAAGTCTATTTGTCTTAGAGTTTTACGTAAAAAACTATTTACTGATACTTCCTGGCATTACAAAAATGTGCATAATTCAAGGTATTTTAATAGTATGTTACGACCCTGGGTTCTTAGTTGGAAACCAGAGGTCAAATTGAATTCCAAATAATCATGTGAGAAGGATATTTATTAACAATAACATTTATACGCAGAGCTCCCGGACAGACCCCCACTCATTATGGGGGTATGTGGTTGTACTGAGAAGGGCCAATAGCTAAAGTCAAGACGTATCTAAAATAGTGGGATAGATAGGCCCAGCCCCCAAGGAACAAGGTTCCTAGTAATGATTCTATGTTTTAAATTACAGGTCTGCAGTCTAGTAGCTAATCATCTACACCACTTCAACAGGATGAATTGATACATCTCAAAATCTAACTTATTTATTAAACCCTCTAATAACCCCCCATATACATTAATACAACAAATCACTTTACCAATGTACATGGGGGGTTATTAGAGGGTTTAATAAATAAGTTAGATTTTGAGATGTATCAATTCATCCTGTTGAAATAGTGTAGATGATTAGCTACTAGACTGAAGACCTGTAATTTAAAACATAGAATCATTATTAGGAACCTTGTTCCTTGGGGGCCGGACCTATCTATCCCACTATTTTAGATACATCTTGACTCTAGCTAATGGCCCTTCTAAGTACAACCACATACCCCCATAACAAGTGGGGGCCTGTCCGGGAGCTCAGCATAAAAACGTTATTGTTAATAAATATCCTTCTCACATGATTATTTGGAACTCAATTTGACCTCTGGTTTCCAACTAAAAACCCAGGGTTGTAACATAGTACAACACTCTAGCCTGTCGTATAATATTAAATATTTAATGTAAATATTAAATATACTGTATATTAAAAAGAGACTTGGCAAGGCCCGCGGCCTTGACCGCCAAGTTCCCGGCGGTCAAGGCCGTGGGGACCTTGACCCCCTAGAACCAACGCAAGGTATACCGTTACACAGAGATCACACTAACATGATGCATCAAATGAACAAATCGACAAGGGCCGTGACGAGGATTCGAACCTGCGTCCAGGAGCATCCCAGACACTGCCTTAGCACTGACGTAGCCGAGTCGATTAAGGCAGTGTCTGGGATGCTCCCGGACGCAGGTTCGAATCCTCGTCACGGCCCTTGTGGATTTGTTCAAGGTATACCGAGCCCCACTAAACCTCTCTTCTAGGTTGATAACACGTAGTAAGACCAAAATCCTCAAGTGAAAGGCATCACTCATTGCATCTGGTGCACGACTCCCTATGGGGTAAAAGTGACACACACTGATGCATGAGTACATGCCCAAAACTGCACTTTAGTACAACAGTTTCTTGACATTGGGGAACTTTAGGAGAACGGGCTGACCGTGGACGCCAAGGGACTGGGGTGTATACTAGTGTTCCATATTAAAACATGAGTCACCTTCATGAGCCATAAAACGCATGTATAATAAGCTGCATTAACCATTCATGACAGATCAAGTGACTGGCCTGCTTAACCGCACTTAAAAGGAGGCACACCCATCATGTTCAAGGATGAGGATATAATATTTTATATGTACAAAATACCCGTTTTAATTTGGGATGACGCTGATGGAATCGCTCGTCTTAAATATCGTTAAACTGAACATGAATTTACGAAATATGGCAGCCAGCACCTCCATTTGGACTAAGAAATTAGAATAGTCATCTAGGATACGTGACAGCAGTAATTAGACTGGTGTTCAGCCGGGTACGCGCCCGTCCTCAGTGGTGACTACATCGAGACACCAAGCTTTTCTTTTATATATTTTACATTCAAGCACTTTTCTGCTGGCAGATGATATTTGGTCAAATGAGTAATATGTGTCACAGACTCGGGATTTTCAGAGAAGGGCAATAAGCTATGTCGTCGTCCGGGGGCTCTTCGGGGAAGCATGTTTAGCTGTGTATTCTGCCACCTTCCCCACAACTCTCTTGTGGGGTTGGTGGGGGGGGTGGGGGCCAACCCGACCTGTGCAGGCACTTATTAAGGTGCTACCATAACCAAGGGCTCTACGGGCTCACCATAGCCCATGCTACATGGACATTTCGTTCTGAATAGCTAAATCTAAAACAACAACAACAACCAAGGGCTCTGTTCACCAGAGAGTAGCAGAAGGTTTGCCCTGCAATATGGTATCTTCAGGCCATAAGAACATAAGAATTGACAAAACTTTCTATATTCTGTTTGGCAATAAGTCCTCTAATTAAATAAATCTCAGGATAAACAATACCCAAATTTGTAACAAAATAGACGGCAAATTCCTTGGCGTTCTCATTGATCACAAACTGAATTTCCAGGGACACATTCTAAATATATAAAAAAAAAAAGTTTCAAAAACTGTTGGAATTCTTTCTAAGATCAGATATTATGTACTTCGCCCTGCCCTGGTGACGCTCTATTACTCCCTCATCTATCCATATCTCAACTATGGTATTTGTGCTTGGGGTTCTACTACCCAAAATCATTTACGTCCTCTAATTACTCAACACAAAGCTGTTATTAGGACAATATCCAACTCTGTCCCCAGACATCACTCGGTACCCCTACTCAAATGCAGTGGTTCCCACCAGCTTCCGAAGGGAAGCAATGGCCAGCTGCCATTAACAGTTAGGGAAGAGACTCCCATTAACCTAATCTCATCTGAGAACCTCACCCAAGCGATCATAGCGACGTCTGCTAGAACATTACCACACATCCCAAAAGCAGCCCGCCCAAATGCAGCAGCCAAACTTTGTAATCTTCTGAAAAGGGTCAATGATGCACCGGAAAACATTCAAGCGTGGCATAATGTCCTTCTGTTTGGCAATGTATGCCTCACCGTCCCTCCAAGGAGGGACAAATCACTTGCTTCCTCGGTCCTGAGGGCGATAAATGAATACCCAAGGGGGGACAACCTAGTTCGCCTGCCTCTCCGAGCAAAACACACCCACCGCAGAAATGGTAACAACAACATACCGGAAACGTACAAAATCAGAGCACAAATCACCAAGAAAATTGAAGAGGGAAATACCGCAAGTGCTATTAGAGTCCTCACCAGTGACGAGAAAATTGCTCCTCGAAACTCAGCCACAGCACGGGCCCTGCAAAGCAAGCACCCACCCAGAGCCCCTCAAGGCGACAACATCGTTCCGCCATCAGCCGACACCATTTCAGACCCATTAACAGTTGGTGAATCTGAGGTCTACAAAGCAGCCCTTTCTTTTCCACCTGGGTCAGCAGGCGGCTTTACAGGGTTAAAACCTCAACATATCAAGCAAATGTTAAATCCTGCGGTTGGTGATGCTGCACAAGATCTTCTTATGGAACTCACAAGGTTCGTCAACATGTGTCTGGCTGGTGAGATACCTGAGGTCATCAGGCCTCTCTTTTTTGGTGCCTCCCTCTGTGCTCTCAAAAAGAAGGACGAAGGAATCAGGCCAATCGCTGTTGGCAACACTCTCCGACGCCTGATTGCCAAGGCTGCTACGAGGGTTGTCAGCCAGCAAGCGGCTGAATTGCTGAAACCAATCCAGCTAGGATTTGGAATCCCCCAAGGCTGTGAAGCGGCTGCCCATGCAGCACGAGCATACATCACAAACATTTCTGATGAAAAGGCCCTGCTCAAACTGGACTTTAAGAATGCCTTCAACATGGTAAGAAGAGATGCAGTACTTTGTGCCGTACATCGCCATTTCCGGCCCCTCTACCCGTTCATACTATCGTGCTACAGTGGCGAGTCAAAACTGCTCTTTGGTGAACATGAAATCAGATCATGTGAAGGTGTTCAGCAAGGTGATCCTCTTGCTCCCCTTCTTTTCTGCTTAGTCTTAAAAGAAATCACCGAAAGCTTGTCCAGCGAGTTCAACATCTGGTTTTTGGATGATGGCACTATAGCTGGCACCGTAGACCACCTCTTGTCAGATATCAGGAAAATAAGGGAGCAAGAAGTAAGCCTGGGTCTCGTCCTGAACCCTTCCAAGTGTGAAGTAGTCTCCTCCAACCCAGACATCGTAGCTAGAATAAGGTCTGCCTTGCCTGGAGCCCATGTCATTAGGGCCGAGAACAGCACCCTCCTTGGAGCTCCCCTCGGGTCTAACGCCATTGAGGAGATCCTCGACAAGAAAATCGCAGACCTTAGGAGGATGGAAGACAGAATAGGTGACATCGATGCCCACGATGCTTTTTATCT